AGCCCCATAAGCATGAAGCTCCATACTCAAAGAAAGAAGGAGAAACATTTCAAACACTGAGGGCGTACCTGCCTCCTGGGATCTGTTCCAATCTCTTATACATCATAATGTACATGATTTGATCAAAGACAGTGATCAGCATAATACTTCTGCCTTGCAGCCCTCGGGGTCCCCAGTTCAAATCCCAGTCACTATCTACAACCAGTTTGCATGTTCTCCCTGTTCTGTTTTCACTACAGGTACTCCATTTTCTTCCCACACTCCAAAGACATGCTGGTAGGTTAAATGGCTCCTGTCTAACACTTAAAGAGTGTAAGCTCCCCAAGGGCAGGGACTTTGTGGGCTATGTAAATTGTCAGTGTTATATAAACAGCGAAAATAAAATAAGTAAAATAGGACTGGTACAGTGACACATGCAGTATTTCCAGATTAAATAAATCAATTCACACCAGTCCTAGTCTACCAAAGAATCATACAATCTAATACCATAACCAAACATACACAGTGATGTTCTTTTTCCACAGCATGCCTACTAAAATGGACCTTCACCCCCTTTCACTAAAAGTCACACCAGAATGCAGCTCTGCATGCCGGTAGGAAATGATCTTATTTTTATCAAAATGTTTTGCTTTTACTTACAATTATTGTTTTGTCCACTTCCTGGATAAGACACTGGTGATGTAGCCCTGGCCTCACAGACACATCCTAGGAAGGATACATCACCAGTGTCTTCCTGGGGAACCTCATCTGTAAACTGAAAAAAGTCTTGTGCGATCTCAAGGGAAAGGCATTTCCACCCTCAGATGATGTTCCCCGTCACATGTTCCAGAAGGAAGTAAAGGAGATGGATTCATCTGCCCTTAGTAAAAATGACCACCATGAGAAGAATGGTGGGGGAAATAAAAATGTATGCAATAAATAAAAATCGTATAAGTATCTGTCTGTAGAAACCGTTTAGCCTTACCAACTGTTCAGGGTCTACCACCCATCTCTGTGAATCCTTCACTGACTCCCAATTGCCCAATGAATACAATTCAAAATACAAAGCCATCCACAATTCTGCCCCAACCTCGTCTCAAAATATCACCCAAACCGCCCTCTCCAGCTCTCATCACCTCCTTCCATGCTTGCCTCCAAGACTTCTCCATAGTGTCTCTCATTTTCTGGAACTCCCTACCTCAATCTATCCCCTTATCTCCTACGCTGTCCACCTTTAGGTGATCCTTAACGGAGAACTATGGGGTTAGGGCTTTTCCCCATTGTTCTCCTAAGGGTAACGGGAGGACACAAACTAGCGTCCTCCCGTCACCCAAAGCTCAGCACACCGCGGGCTGTGACGCCGCAGTCGAAACAGATCCCGACAATTATGTCTGGAACCACCCAGCTGCGTGAGTGACAGATGGCTCTGCCTATCTAGAGGCAGAGCCAGCTGTACCCGCCCCGTCCGTTCCGCCAATCAGCGCTGGAGGATCCAGTCCCTCCCGTCACGGCTCTCTGTAGGCACAGGATCGAGAAGTGAGCGAACACCGGTATGTGTTCCGATCTAATGAGCCGACCTGTGACAGTTTCATTGTCACAGGTCAGATCAGATTACGAGGCAGAGTGAAAATCACTCGCCTCATAATTCACCTTTAAAAACTCATCTCTTCAGGGAAGCCTATCTCACCTCAGCATATCTGCCCTTTTACTTCCAATAACCCAAGCCAAATAATTATTACTTTTTGAATCACTTGCCCCTCCTACTAAATTGTAAGCTCTCAGGAGCAGGGCCCTCCTAACCCTATTGTACTGAACTTGTATTGTAACTGTACTGTCTCCCCCATTTTGTAAAGCTCTGCGCAAACTGTTGGCACTACATAAAACTTGAATATTATTATTATATTATTATTAACTACTAAACATTTCTAGAGGTTTCTTTGTTGTCATTTGTTAAGATAAGAAAGTTCCTCTTTAAATTCGTATGTTTTTATAATTTAGAAAACTCAGACATGAGAAGAGAATCTCCACACAGGCAGAAAGGGGAATTTACTAAGACTAGAGCAGACAAAATCTGGGAGTAGCCGTGGATGGCAACCAATCAGCTTCTAGCTCTCATTTTCAAAGCTTATCTGAACAAGCTGAAGACAGAATGTGATTGGTTACTATGCACACCAGCCCCAGAATTCTACGCTGGTTGAAACAAAAGGGGGATGTCCAAATCTAAAAGCTATTTCTTAGCAAATGACGTGCCAAGAAATAAGTAGTCTCATTATGTTCTTACAGAATGAACACTATAATCCGGGGTAATAGCTGCCACCAATTGAGGATCATCTCTGCATTATGACAAAACAACGCTCTTTATTTCCAGTGATTGAAGCAATACAGATACAACTTTGAATGATGTATTGCACTCCCATAAAGAAGCGCTATACTTCCACATCAATTACAGTCTTTGTTCACACAGAGTGGCCTGCGGTGAGAGATTAGCCATCTGAAAACAAGCTGCCCATACATAGCCAGACCTCCCCATTCTCAGAACAATCACCGAGCAGAGACCTCTACTTCTTGCTGGACTCAACCTTCCTCCCCCCTGTGACGCACTTTCACAACAATTCGGTTGAAGAATATTTTGCCCAGATTCTGTCCGCTACATACACAAAAATGACATATGCGCTGAAGTCTGCCACTGGCATTAAAGTACATCTAAAGCCGAGACCTATTTTCATGGTGGATAGTGGAGGAGGGTTACAATGTGTCTGGCTTTTTTTGTCATCTGTGTTTAATTAGATAGATTTCATTCCCTGTCCTGTAGACTCACCAATAAGGCTTAATTTACACCTAGGCAACAGCGTTTCCGTGCAGTTTCCGTGCGTTCATGCACACGTTCCCACGCGTATATTAAGTTGCGAGTCTTTGTGATCAGATTGCGACATTTATGTTGCGTGTTTCCAATTTAGTCTATGGGGACAAATCGCACTGATCTGCCCCCACCCCCAAAAGCTCACATTCTTTTTCAGCGCCAGGCATATTTTTATGCGCGAATCAGAATCAGCGCATGTGTGAACAGAGGCCATAGGAACATATGGTATTTCGTCTGCTGTGGGTTTCAGTGCGAACAAATACGCGCAACAAAACACCATGATGTGAACAGGGCCTGAGTGAGAGGACATATTTCCAATGTGAGGTGAATCCTCTCCTAGCTGTCATGTCCCTAGTAGATTTCACCTTTATTCTCATTCTGGTGCCAAATTAAATATTTTGGATTTCCCCTCACTATCATTTCTGGTGACACTGGACAATTAAAGTGACAGTAAAGGATAATATGTTTTTCCGTCCCCCAATGTAAATGTCTCTTAATCCGATCTTCTTCTTTCCTGATGTTTTCATCTGTCCCTCCAGCGGTGCGGCGGTTCTCTGATCCAGCGCTGACTCCTCTGTCCCTGCAGGAACTTCCGATCCAGCGGTGTCTGCATGCGGGTGCACGCGTCCATAGACTTACCTTGTGTCTCTGCTGGTCTCCCGGCCGTGAATCCGAACTGCGCATGTGCCCGCCCCAAGATGCTTTGCGGCCACATTAACGGTTTCAGATTTTCGGGCGGAAGTACACAGCGAAAACAAGGTAAGTGTAAACCGCCGTTAAACCGTTTTTGAACTTTTTGCATATATCTACTGCTTGCTAGCCGTAGATATAGGCAAAAAAAAACAGAGGGTTTAGAACCCCTTTAAGAGAAATTTCCGCAATGGGGACACAGTTCTGATCCCTCTCCACTATCTAAAACTACAAAAAGAAAACGTTTTTCCATTAGTTCTACTTTTACACACTGTGCATTTTTGCTTTGTGTTCTCCATTGTAATCAACGGAAACTCATCAAAACAGAATGTTGTTATGTGTGTTGGCATTCCTTACAAAGTGCATGCATTCAACGTGCACCGATAGGAGTCTCCATTGATTTCAATAGAACACACATTGGGGGGGGGAAGACATAAAAGCAAATTGCCCCTTAGTATTGTAACAGGCAGGGTTATTCACAAAAGGGTGAGGAGTTTGGAGAAGTGAACAATCTAGGACTTCTCCAATCCAGCTCACTTTCCAGTTCAGCTATGTTGTCCTAGATTGTTCTCTTCTCCTGCCCTTCACCCTATTGCAAGTAACCCTGATAGTTTGATTTGGTTCTGCCAGCAGATCTGTTGATTTTCCACTTCCTGTAACAAGGTGAACCCGCAGTTTGTGCTGCAGTGAAATTGGCACAGCGTTGTCACCCTGTTCTCAGGGCAGTGTTACATGGACATGTCATTTCACATGGACGTTATGTGACAAACAAATGAAAGCCAAATTCCGGCTAATTAAAACACATTCTAAGCAGTTTCAGCAACAGTTTTAACGTTCATTAAAAAGGTGACTTGTGAGAATCCCCCCCAGCACTGCTATATGGTTTCTTCCAACCTATAACTGATGGTTTTGTTGGAAAGCTTAGCCTGGGTATAAAAGAGGTCAACTGGGCCTGCATGTAATGTGGTCAGCTTGGTCTGCACCACGCTCAGACTGGTCTGCATATAATGTGGTCAGCTTGGTCTTCATACAGTGTAGTCAGCTCGGCCAGACTGGTCTACATTAAATGTGGTCAGCTTGGTCTGCACAGTCTAACTGGTCTGCATAGAAGAAGTGTTGAGGAAAATATTGTAAAAAGTCCATATGAAATAAAATAGATATGGATATACAAAATACAGAACGATCACAAGTATTGACCCCAATATTTGCCCTATAGTGGCCCTTAACACCCTCCCCCCGCAGAGATGGTCATTATCTGCTCACGTTCTGGTAACAAGCCAGGGAACCCTAACTGTCCATGAGATAGTACTGCGCCTCTGTATAGGACCCCCCAGGAGTCAAAAGTCATCTCCCCTCCCCCGCCACAGCCTGAACGGTAAGGAAGGCTGGCTATCCCCATTAGAAACAATGATCCAAGCCTGGTGACCAGCAATAGGGAGCGTCAGGAGTCTACAATGCATTCAGCACTTACCAGTTACAGCTAGGACGCAGGCAGACAATAGCACAGTCCCAATTAGGAGCCCCGGGCCCCTCATAGCGGACAGCGGTACGGTCCCGCCGCGGATACAAACTCCGTCAACAAAGTGCGGACCAAGTTACTGACTCCTCCGCGAAATGCTGCAGTGAAGTCAACCTGCTCGGCGATACTTCGAAGACCTACGTCACCTACACCCAGCCACGCCCCCTCAAAAGTTTCACTGATACCGAGTACTTGGGTGAGGGCGGGACTTTCTCCCACCACGCCCTCCATCGTTGCACCTTTCTGGCTGACGTCATCAGTCAGGTATGTGCAGGGCTCTGTCAGGCATTGTCAGGGTGAGGTCAGCGTTGGGAAGAAGGCTCGGAGCCTATACAGAGAGAGATTGTATGGATGTGACGTGTAGAGGAGATGTGCGAGAAGACATAGACAAGATAACTGCTGTCATAGAAGTGTACAAGTTTGCTTTTCAATAGAGAACACGTAATTGTTGACTTTGCTATAATAGACAAAGTAGAATGTAAATGAAAAAAAGAAGTTATAGTTATAGAAGTTGTAAAGAATGATATACACATAATAAACGAGTATAGCAACGTTGTCTGTTGGTGCCCGTCAGCTGCATTATGTATTCACAGTTCTGGCTGTGTGGCAGAGGCGTAACTAGAACCTTCGGGGCCCCGATGCAAGAAACCATGAAGGCCCCCCCCCCCCAACGGCCATGGCACCTCATGTTAACAGGAAGGCTGCCGAGGTCCCCAGCAAGTGCGGGACCCCAGGCAGCCGCTTGTTTAAAATTTTAGTGCCGGTGTTCTGTCGAGAACGCCGACCCAGTATCTGGGTGCAGAGGTGCTTAGGTGCAGACGGGATTACCGAGGAAACCGGCATTTATTTACAAAGTATTTGTTTGTAATGGTTAATTGTGACCGTTAATAATATGCTGTTCAGTAAATGATGGAATATTATCCACAGTCATAATTAACAATGTAAACTAAATACTTTGTAAATAAATCCCGGTTTTCTCAATAACACTGGTCTGTGCGCAAGTGCGGATGCTGAGGTTGGCAAATTCAACTACGTCGGCATTCTCGACAGAACACCGTTATCTGTGTTTAGTATTGGGGCATTTTCACGAGTGTGAGTACTCATGAAAATGCCCAGTATTGGCAGTGGTGTATCCTTTCATCATACAGCAAAGCAGAATACCACCATCTATGCAGGACTACAAGTCCCAGCAATACATTATAATAGAAGACAGCACTACAGAATCCCACTACACCAGCACCCCCCCCCCACACACACACACTTTTCCGTGCCCCCTCTTTCCCAGTCCAGACTTACCTTCCCTCTCCTGCAGGGCCCTCTTCCTCGTCTTGGCAGCCAGGGGGCGGGGCTAAGAGGAGACGGTCCTCACAGCAGAATTGGCTGCCCAGCGGTGCCTGCAACACATTCTGCGGGACCAGACATAACAGCCTCTCCATCCCTGCCGCACAGCCGCCCGTACATGCTGTGGGTGGCAGCGCGGCAGGGAAGGAGCAGCACAATCTGGGGGGGTCCTCTTCTTCCTCGCTGGGCCACCCCAAGTGGCGGAACACCAGGGCCCGGTCCCAATTGCGACTGCTGCGACCCTGGTAGTTCTGCCAGTGCTGTGTGTGTACCTTCTCCGCCCGCGCCACACGCAGTGGTTTCTTCTGCCTGTAGAACATATGAGCCAGCGGGAGGGACCATTCTGGGCAGTGGGGAAAACAGCTATTTGACTAGCAGTCAAATAGCTAGCAGTAGTCAAATAGTTAGCAGTGAAAAGGCGGCATACCACCAAATGTGCTACTGGAAAGGTAAGTAAGGAGCCTCTTCTATCACAGGTATGTCATTCTTCACAAGTGACCCGCTTTCCCAGGCGAATTTGGTCAAATGGAATTACCCCCACCAGTCTGCCACCCTTCCCTTCTTACCTGTCAATGAACGCTCCTTCCCCTCCGCGGCTGCCAGTGTAGGACCCCTAATATTTTAAATTCTGCTCAAAAATGACAAGCAGTCACTCAGGTGACTGCGCTGACCAATGAGAAGCTCTTCTTACTAAGAAGCGCTTCTCATTGGTCAGCGTGGTCAGACGCGTCAATGTGCTCACCATTTGCAAGCGGAATTTAAAATACCGACCTCAGAGCTGCACTGCTGTGTAATGTATTTCTTCCAGATCTGTGCACTAATCCAGTGTGACATTTTGCCCCTGTAATAAAGACCAGTCTCTTCTGCTCTCTCTCTTTATGTAGGGTGACTGGTCTTGTCTCCGCCCACTCCTCTAATTTTCTGCAATCAGCCTGTAGTGGGTGGAGCCTGCTGTGCCCCTACCACATCTCTGTACAGACTAAGTACGGCATAGCGATGATGTCACTGCCACATTTACAAGGTAACGTCTGGGTTCACCAAGGCATTCGGTGCATGCAAAGTGGATTTATATCCTTTGTGGCTAATAGGGTTTTATTTCAATGAATGCTTTTGTGTCACTTGTTATCCTCACTCTATCCTATATTTATTTTCTGCAGTCTGTTGGGCAGCACACATTTGTGATAGATAGATAGACATTAAAGTCTATTTTTTATCCCCTCCCCAATTCTGCTTTAAGAACTTACCTTAAATGTTGTCTCCTGATCCGATCATCTGCTTCTTTCCTGTAGTTTTCAGCAATCCCTCCAGCGCTGGTGCCGGGTTCTGATCCAGTGCTGACTGCATCTGCAGTATGAGATCTCAGGCACTGCTGCCTCTGATTGCTAGTCTTAGGACAGGGATGTCCAAACTGCGGCCCTCCAGCTGTGGTGAAACTACAAATCCCATGAAGCATCTCTCTCCGGGAGTCACGTCTGTGAGAATCTCGCAAAGCCTCATGGGATTCGTAGTTCCACCACAGCTGGAGGGCCACAGTTTGGACATCCCTGTCTTAGGAGATTTGGTGATGTTACTACTGTGCTGCTCCTTGTCCTCTTTGCTGGGGTCTCTGAAATGAGGAAGCCCTGCCTTTACAAAGATGGCCGCCTCCACTCAGACACAGTGCAAAACAAGGCATGGTAAGTCAGTAATGGGGACGGCTCATCCGCACAGAATCTACAGGCAATACTGGTGACTAGTCTTTGTCCTTTGTCTTACTTTTTTATTGGCACAGCTTCCAGAGATGATTTCCTCTTTAATTAATTCTGGGTAGAGTTGGGAAGAGTTAAAGCTGAACTCCGGCCAAAAACAATTTTTGGTTGGATTGTAAAAATAAATGAAAAAGAAGTGTGTGCAATGTGTGGCCACTGCTGCGTTATGTAATACTTTCATTCTCCCCATACAGGACGGTCAGCACCAAACGTCTGACACTGAAACTTACTGTTGTGGCCGGAGTACAGAGATCACAACGGGTCGCTCACTCTGCAGCTTGTCCATATGAAGACGTCTTGCATTCTTTTCAGTGAATACAAAGCGTTTTGTCATTGGTGGAGGTGCAGGTGAACTCCATGATTTTCCCTTGTCCCGTCACAGAACACTTTGCCACTATGTCGAAATGTGCTGTGCTGTGCTGAAAGAATTGCACACCACTGCAGCGCATTGATGTTAATTCACCTTATATAACTAAATTTGACTTGTCTATGCATTGGGACCAGGACCGGATTTACCCTCCCTGCCGGGTTCGGCAATGCGACCCCCCCCCGCCGAGGAGAATGCCAACCAGATAGTGGGGGTGGCAGGGTTGGTTTGAATTCTTTTATGTTTTTTTTTGTTTCTTTGTTTGTTTATTTTAACTTTTTTATCACTTTTTAATGTTTTTTATTTTTTTACTTTTAAAATTTTTATTTATCTTGTTATCTTTTACTTTTTTTTATTTTTTTTAGAATTTTTTATCTTACTATTTTTTATTTATAATTATTTTCTTGTTTTTGTTATATTTTTCTTACTATTTTTTACTTTATTTATTACTTTTTTAATGTACTTATTTTTATTTATGTAATAATTTTTTAATCAATTTTTTTCACCTAACTTTATTGCTATCACACAGGAGCTAACAAGTCACTGTGTGATAGCATTTGGAGGTGACAGGTTCTCTTTATTGAACCTGTCACCTCCAATACAGGAGTTCCAGCACAGGACTGTGCTGGAACTCCTGTGATAGGTGAGATAGGAAGACTGCTCTCCCCTCTCATTGTCTACACGGAGCGGCAGGGTTACTTTTAACCCTGCTGCTCTTCTCAACGCTCTCCATCCTGAAGACGGCGGCGGCCAGCGAGGAGAGGACGGAGCTGGGAGGACGCAGCATGGAGAGAGGTAGGTGCAGGGGAGTGAGGGGGGTGGCGGGGGGAGGACGGACCAGCAGTCTAATTACAAGTGTTCTCAGCGACATCGCCGAGATCACTTATAAAGAAAACAGGTGATTTCTCCTATTCTACATTTAGCCCTGCTTGTGCAAAGTGCCGCCCCTGTGGCCTTGCCGAGAATTCGGACCTGATTGGGACTGTGTTGGACAAAGCTGTTCAGGGCAGCCTAATGCATATATTGTTAAAGGGCCCTAACCTGTTTGCTGACCATCCCTAACGGCTAGATATGGTTATAGATAGCCATTATATGTCACTAATATTCCACCTTTTTCTGTGGACCAGACAGTAAGCAGAAGATGACTTCTGTATATAAGAGTTATGGGATTTTAGCCAATAACAATATTCTTGATTTTCCCGATGATATTGCTGCCTTCAATAAACTTCTGCCCAGTTATTGTTCAGACTTATCATTGCCCAACCTGAAACCTAAATGTGGCCCCTTGGTGCTTACTGTGCGTCCCTCAGACCTCAGCAACCGGTATTCCGTATTTTCTCTGCCTAGGTGCTTGCTCAGACTTATTCAGCATGTGAACTGGAACAAGGTGAGGGGACGTGCTTTTGGAATTCCCTTGTGGTTCTGCATCATGAGACAGAGAAAACCTGAAGACACCTCTCACTCTGCGATACACGTCACTCAGGCTCCAGCGTGCATCACAAGAACTGCTTCATGTTACGGTACATGTACTATCACAGTACGTTGCCAGAACCAAAACTC